GTATGTGTTTGTGCGTGTTTGGGTGCGTTTTTTGTTTGTGTTTGTGCGTGTTTGGGTGCGTTTTCTGTTTGTTTTGTGGTGTGTTTGGGTGCGTTTTATGTTTGTGTTTGTTCGTGTTTGGGTGCGGTTTTTGTTTGTGTGTAGTAATTGATCTGTATCGACATCTATATATTTTATACATACATATCTGCCTATCATTTTATCTATCTGTTTATTCATTCATCTATCTGTCTGTCTAGCTATCTCTCCATTTGTTTGTGTCTGACTGTGTATACCTGTCTGTCTGTCTGTGTGTCTGTCTGATTGTCAGTCTATCAATCTAAATACCAATCTATTTTCCTATTTGTCTATCAGTCCATATATAACTTTATATGTATGTCATGAGGCTAAAAATATTATATCTACTGTATAAAAACACAAACTGAACAAACTATCAGTCTCTCTCTCTCAACATATCTTAACTTATGTGTATGTGCAGCCAGCATATATACATCCATTTAGCGACTAGGGCATTTAAAGTTGGATTATATTCATAATTACAGACTATTTTTAGAATATAGGCAAACAGATTATAAAAAAAAAAAAAAAATCATAGCGAAAGACACGATTTTTTTTTTTTTTTTTTTTTTTTTTTTTACAAAACAAACAGATAAAAATACACGGATATCTACAGCAACAAATCTAAGCACAGTGCATGTAAATGATACAGACAAAAAACAATTACGCAAGCCAGATTACAACGCGCTTTATATTGGATTAAAAACAGTACACAAAGGTTAGAATTAGAGTACACAGATTTAAAAAATCAGATTGTGAAAATGACCTTCTACTAATAAGCAATCAAAAGGGGATGTTAAGATAGAGTAAATGAGATACAGCTTCAAAAGGAAAATGAAGCAAAGAAGTTATAGAATTATATTTATGATGGATAAGGTTCACCCACGACTTTAAATGATAGCAAATCTACGAAAAGGAAAACAGTTACAATAAGAACTATATATAAATCATAACGTTTCGAACGAATCACGAGTTCTTTATCAGGCGAATAATTTTCGAATAATCAATCGTCTGAAGAGGAAGTCGTGAAGGGTTCGAAACGTTACGACATATTTCCATTTCTTATTGTGGCTGTTTTCCTTGTTTGTGTTTGTGTTCATTGTGAATGTATGTTTTCCGGAAATGATAGTTTGTCTATGTGAATTGCACAGCAAAGGCACGTACTCATCCATTTCTATAAACGGAGAATTTGCTTATATGCATTCTACACTCTTCGCCTGGGTTCAATCCTTACCACAGGAGGGATACCAAAGTTCGCAGACGCTGACTGTTCATCTTCAGTGACGCGTTTACAAGATCGTTTTAAGTGGAAGATTTATAAATAGATTTGATGAAAGCGTTTCCATGGTAATAGAGCATCTAGCAAGAACATGCTGGATGCCTTTCGTCCTTATTCAGGAATTGAAAGTAAATGGTAATAAGGGAAGCGATAGAGAAATTGATGGAGAGAAAGAGAGAGAGAGAGAGAGAGAGAGAGAGAGAGAAGAGAGAGAGAGAGAGAGAGAGAGAGAGAGAGAGAGAGAGAGAGAGAGAGAGAGAGAGAGAGAGAGAGAGAGAGAGAGAGAGAGAGAGAGAGAGAGAGAGTAAGACAGAGAGCATGAACAAGCGATCACAAAGAGAAGGGACACGCCTCTTGCAAAGTGCAAACACCAAAATAGCTTCTCGATCGTCGCACGCAGCTCACATCACACGGTCGGACTCACGTCGTTGGCCCACGTTGCTCGTCATGACCCACGCTCTCCTCCATCTCCCCCCCCCCCCGTCCATACCTATAAGGGATGACCCACATCGGAATTACTTGGCACAGGCCGGGCTCCCTCCATAGGCATAACCTCGGCGAGACTCGGCTTCGCATACCTGGCTTATCCTTATCAATCTCGGACACGTTTCACCGTCATCAGGAGGTCAGGTCAGTTCCTAACCCCTCGACGAGGCACAGTTTTTTCTCTCGTACACTCACACACCACATACACTCAACATTCTCTCTCTCTCTCTCTCCTCTCTCTTCTCTCTCGCTCTCATCTCTCTCCTCTCTTCTCTTCTCTCTCTCTCTCTCTCATCTCTCTCTCCTCTCTCTCCAGCCGGCCTTACGCTGTTCTACCCTTCTTTTTATAAGGCATAAGGTTAACTAAGCATTGTGTTTGTAAGGGATAGATGGATAAATAGATAATTAGATTACTATATAGGGAGAGAGGAGAGAGAGAGCGAGAAGGAGGGAGAGAGAGAGAGAGTTGAGGGAGAGAGAATGAGAGAGAGAGAGAGAATAAGAGATAATGAGAGAGAGATAGAGAATGAGAGAGAGAAGAGAATGAGAGAGAGGCGAGTGAGTAGAGAGAAGAGAGGGAGAGAGGAGAGAGAGAGAGAAAATGAGAGAGAGAGAGAAAATGAGAAAGAGAGAATGAGAGAGAGAGAGAGAATGAGAGAGAGAGAGAATGAGAGAAAGAGAGAATGAGAGAGAGAGAGAAATGAGAGAGAGAAGAGAAATGAGAGATAATGAGAGAGGAGAGAGAGAGATGAGATAGATAGATAGATAGGATAGATAGATAGAGAGAGGGAGAGAGAGAGAGAGAGAGAAAGATGGAGAGAGAGAGAGAGAGAGAGAGAGAGAGAAGAGAGAGAGAGAGAGAGATGGGGGGGGGGGGGGAGGAGGGGAGACTTTTTATTAGTTTATCAGGATATCTCAGCCTTTCGTAAATAAGTCCCTATGTGGGCTCGCGTTTCGTATACATCAACAGATGCGAATACATTACACAACTTGAAATAACGAAAAATCAAATATTCAGGCAATGAGAGAAGAGAGAAGGAGAAGGAGAAAGAAAGAGAGAAGGGAAAGAGGGAGAAGAGAAATTTAGGACAGACTGGCAGGTGAATCAACAAGCGCCCCCTTAAAAAAAAGTGACCTCCACCCCCCGACGCCCAACTGACATCCCTGTGGATGGGAGAGCGACGCGCCCCGCCCCGCCGCTGCCGCCTCCATAATGGGCGCGGGGCGGTGGTGTTTCCTGATCGTCACCGACCAAGTCCCAACTATTGCTAGATAGACGCGCCGACACTGCTATGCGGATGCAAGCTATCTATCCACACACACACACACACACGGTGCACGCACACACCCACAGCACACGCACACACACACATCACACACACACACAACGACAACACACACACAACACACACACACTCACACGCACAACAACACCGTATACACGTATTTACCTATAGTTGTTCAATATGTCCCTATCTCCACCTCGACGCCAGGTCATATGCTGCCCACACTCTCATGATCCACTTAATCCAGCTGTTCCTGGAGTTTGCCATCCTCACAGCTCCAGAGAACGCCGTTCCCCACACCTGCATGCTGTGGGCGACACCGCACGCCCATGCCGGCCGCACAGCTACAACTCGCCGCCGCCTGCGTTAGGACAGAGACCATTTTTTTCCTTCAAAAGGCCGTTGAGGAAAGAGAGAGAGAGAGAGAGAGAGAGAGAGAGAGAGAGAAGAGAGAGAGAGAGAGAGAGAGAGAGAGAGAGAGAGAGAGAGAGAGAGAAGAGAGAAAGAGAAAGAGAGGGAGGGGGGGGGGGGGGGGGGGGGGGGAGGGGGAGGGAGGGAAGGAGGAGAGAGAGAGAGAGAGAGAGAGAGAGGAGAGAGAGAGAGAGAGAGAGAGAGAGAGAGAGAGAGAGAGAGAGAGAGAGAGAGAGAGAAAAGAGAGAAAAGAGAGAGAGAGAGAGAGAGAGAGGAGAGAGAGAGAGAGAAAGAGAGAGAGAGAGAGAGAGAGGAGAGGAGAGAGAGAGAGGGGGGGAGGGGAGAAGGAGAGGGAGAGGGAGAGGGGGAGGAGAGGAGAGAGAGAGAAGAGAGAGAGAGAGAGAGGAAGAGAGAGAGAGAGAGAGAGAGAGAGCGAGAGAGAGAGAGAGAGAGAGAGAGAGAGAGGAGAGAGAGGAGAGAGAGAGAGAGAGACAGAGAGAGAGGAGAGAGAGAGAGAGAAGAGAGAGAGAGAGAGAGAGAGAGAGAGAGAAGAGAGAGAGAGAGGAGAGAGAGAGAGAGAGGAGAGAGGGAGAGAGGAGAGAGAGAAGAGAGGAGAGAGAGAGAGAGAGAAGAGGAGAGAGAGAAAGAAGAAAAGGTCGAGCAAGGGTTAAAGCACTCATAGACCACTTACTAAAACGACATCATTCTAATGAACCCCCTGACTTTCGTCTTTCTCTCTGTCTCCCAAGATAACATCGAGAAAGTCCTCTCACTCAGCAGACACATTAACAACACCAAGACCCTGCCACTTAACCCCGTCCCATACAGCAAGGCCTAGACTATGAGGTCTAGTCCTGCCAAGTCATGTAGCCACCCACGCCTGATAATAGGCTATTGTTCCCCGAAGTGGGTTGCGAGCCAGTTTCACTACGGAGAGAGCGGAGAAAGGGGGACAAACGGCGGTGTAAGAGGGAGGGGCAAAGACAGGGAAGAGGAGAGAGACACAGAGAGACAGAAAGAAAGAAAGAAGGTGAGGCAGAGACAAATCTGTCTATCCATCTATTTACTTATACATATATAGGCGATAATAGCATGAAAACATATAACATACAATATCATGCATTAATTACATGCACACACAGGCACGACNGTTAATCCTGCTCCAAGAAAGCTCAAAGAAAAAGAGACGGATGTACGTACCTTGGTCCTTCAGAACAACAATTCGATAAAATATATAAGCAAAAGGAAGAGCAAAATGTGTGTAAAAATGCACGATAAACATAACAGAAAAAAAAAAACAGTAAAATTGCTTATACCGAGTCGCGTCGACAACATGTTTATGAATATAATATGCTGCACACAGCTCTTAATTGCCCCAAATGCAAGCGTGTGTGCGAGCACTGGTGTGCGTGCAGATATGCGTGTGCAGTGTGCGGGGGAGACGGGGTTGCCGACGGCTAATTACAACAGGTAATACGGCGTTAGGCTACAACGTGGCTCGCGGAGCACTTTACCTGCGATCGCCCCATCGCCAGCACCACCTCCTCGGCCGAAGGGAGGGCGGCCCGCAGCGGGGCGAGGTCGCGCCTGTCCACGGCCTCGGCGAGGGCGTCGCGCCACCCGCGCGGCGTGGGCGGCGGGGGCTGCACGGGGCTGGGCGCCGACTGCAAGCCAGGCCGGCCGCTGATGGTCCACACGCCCGAGGGGGAGCCGTATGCCGACGAGGGGGAGGAGGGCGCGGCGCCCCCCCTCGGGCTCGTCTCGCTGCCGCTCGGCTCGCCCTGCCGCCGTCTCCGGCCACTTCCGGACCGACTGCGCCCTCCTGGCGGCGGCGACGAGCTCCGTCGTCGTCGCGGGCGGTGCTCCGCCTTGGGCTCTGCCGGAGCGGTGGCTGGAGCGGGAGCCGCGCCCGTCGTCGCGCGGCGTGGCGATCCGACCGCGGCGCGTCGGTCCGATCGGGCGGCGGATCGGTCGCTGCGGACGCTCTCGACGGAGCGCGAGGCGGCGCGCGAGGGCGCCCGCGACCCGAGGGCGGGATACTGCTGCGGGTGGTCGTAGTAGAGGCGCTCGCTGCTGCCCGGGGCAAGGCGGCGCTCGCTGCTGCCGTAGCCGCTGCGCCGGTCCAGGCTCGCGTACGCCCTCCGCTCGCCGGCCGCGCTCAGGTCGCCGCTGCCGCCCACCTGCTGCAGGCGGCGTCCAAGCCGCCGTGCGCCGGCGGGCGCGTCCGCGTGCCGGTCGACGCCGCGTGGGGGACGTGGCGGGCGCCGCCGGGGAGCAGCGCCCTGTCGCCGTCGCGGGGGTCCCGGGGTCCGGCGCGCCCCAGCTGCTGCGGGGCGACGTGGCGGCGGCCGAGCGTGTGGATATGCGGGCGGCCGCCGCGCCGTCGACAGGGGGATGTCCGGCACCGGGACGCCCACCGTGTGGTGGCTGGGCGGCAAATACTCGCGCATGGGCACGCCCTCGTACTGCTGGGGCCTCATGGCGGCCTGGTCGTCGCGCGCCGCCGAGGGCGAGGCCGGGCGCTGGTGGGCGGGGGCGGGCGCGGGTCGCTCTGCCTTCAGGATGCCCGTGGAGGACGCCTTGGTGCCCGCCGGCGGTGTCGCCTCGGCCTTGTCCGCCGACCTACTCCGGCGGGCGAGGGCCGAGGCGAGGGCGGTCCGGGCGCGCCCCACCAGCGCCCCCCACCCCCCAACACCATGGCTGCCCTCCGCGCTGCCCGCACTGCCCACCAT